CTCATCCTTAGGTAGTACCGTTTACAGCACATCTCAGTAACAGTTAAAGCGTCCTTACTTGTATGTATCGTAAAAAAATCCTTCCCATTCCAAACCCCTGTAAATATTAGTTGCTTCAAATACCCGTCATAAATTTTCCACATTTTACAAAACCTATATACTAGAAAATAAATTCACCAAAATTAATAAGTCAGTATGTGTTAGTGTACCCTTAATTATCCTTCAGTTATATAAGCTCATTACAGTTTATAAACCGTTAAGAAAAGTTTTATCCAACAAACTATAATTCACTGCAGATTAAATTGATAACATTTTTGGTTAGCATAATTCCCGGGCCTTATTTATGCCATACAGCCAACGAAACAGAAACCTATCTTCCAACAAAAAATACATTTTGGGGAGTTAATAACTAAATTCTGTGGATGGTTTAGTTTGCCAATATGCCCCCAACCCTTGAAATTGTTCATTAAAAGTCAACAGAAAAAAAAACTTTTTTCTCTCACACAGAACTAATTTTCTCAGTTGTTAAGAGTTTTCCCCAACAAAATATCTATGGCGTTTGTTTTATTTTATTAAGTCAGCAGGCCCAGTAGAACAGAGCACTGCATAATGTCTAACTGTCAATGCTAATGATTTTTGGCAGTTGAACAGAACAATGGTGTTGCTCTGTTGCCGTCATTACCACTTCGACCGCCATTTGTGCTCTGGCGACCTAGTCATGCATGGAAATTATGTTGGCATCTTATATTTTGCCAATATTTGTTGGCATATTGTTTTTCCAGTTCAAACTGCTGACAGCGGCTGCTTCATCGTGTAGAGTGGAATTTGGTTTCATTCTGCGATATGCCGCAAAGTTAAATAAGCAAAACATTTGAAATTCTCCAGCGTATTATAATGAATATTTTACATTTGTGTATATCGTTACGTTTCGATTCTATAGTTTCGAAGTCAGGAGTTTCCCAACAAACATTGTGAGAGACTTTAAATATATGCATTAAGATGTGATGTCCCCAAATTCAGCTCTCACACATCGACTCAAACCAAAACGTGGAATTGATGCTGTAAAAAGGATGCGAAGCTTCGTCAGACGCAGACGTATATATCATCAACTAATGAAGCCCTTTGAAAAGAATATTTCCAGTGGCTACTGTGCCTACCTGGACATGGGCTTCTTTAGAAAATTTATGAAAAGTACTGTCAATTTAATTAATATTCAACGACTTTCAGAATCGTTCATGTTTTTCAGAATTTTTACGAGTAATTTTTCCAATGATTTGGATTTTTAAAAATATTTGTTCAAAGGCTTGAATTTTTAAAAAGGTTTTGTTTTACAGTTAAAAGTCTTGATTTTGTTCCGAAAAGTTTTACTGGGTAGCCTGCATAACAACCCAGAGTTTATTGAGGAAAATTAATGAAAAACTTCATGGCATAGTTTAAGAAAATTATTGTGACAATAACAAAGCCAAAGAAGAAATATCTATATACATTTTGCTTATTTAAATCAGCATTCATACACACACATACATATATTCACCCCCACTTTGGTGTTACCTTCAAACACAGAAAAGTTTTGCCAAGAATAATCGATTCTAAGATGATAAGGAAAAAAACTTTGAAGTGGAAAAAAAATACTTTAATAATTTGTCTTAGACACACGCACAAGGACAACAATATTTTTCAATGACTACAGAGGCATGGATTTTTAGAAAATAATTCTTTCGAAAATGTTGAGGGACGGGGATTCGTGGATTTTTATAGAATATTTTTTCAAAGACTATTCAAGATGTGGATTTTAAGAGAATAATTTTTTAAAGACTATCCAATGCGTGGATTTTTTAAAAATATTTTTATTTTCAAATACTATGCAAGGCGTGGTTTTTTAAGAATATTTTTCAAAGACTATCCAATGCGTGGATTTTTAAGTATATTTTTTTAAAGACTTTAACAAAATTATTTAAAAAAACATTTTTTGGATGTTTTTAAGAATATTGTTTAAGAATATTTTTTCCAAAGACTATCCATAGCATGGATTTTTAAAGAAATTTTTTTTTCAAAGACTATCAGAGGCGTCGACTGGTAAAGAATATTTCTTTTTAAAAATTATTTTTTCAAAGACAAGATTATTTTTTAAAATTTTTTAATTTTTTCAAAAAAAAAAATGAGTCGTGGATGTTTCATTAAATATTTTCCATTGAAGACACCCTCATTAGGAGTTTTATGTATCGCAGACCTCTGTACAATCAACTCTTGAGAGGCTCCAAAAAATGTTTTCTGTTTTTAACACTTTCAAAAAAATAATATCGAAGGATAGATTATTGTTTCATATTTGATAGATTATTATTTCATACAAATACATAAGATTGGATATTATGATATCTAAATTTGTTGCCATATTTAGTAAAACAATGTACAGAAAAGAATGGGGGGACTGCTGACATGACATGCTAAAAACCTCTTATATACATTTTGATATGATGCTATTATTTTTTATTTACTTGCAGGGCTCATAATCTAAAAAGAGGAGTGATTAAAATTTTACGGTCGTACAAATGTCAACAACATTGAACGGCGGTATGTGACTGCCGCCGTCATCGCCTTCTGTTATCTTGTGCAAAATCGACTTAAGGGGGTTCTTGTTTCTTTTGTGCCCGTTATGGGAGTAAGTCCGGCAGCAGCTGCTGCTGGAACGCCCTTTTGACCACTACAGAACAACTCAGTCGTTTGTCACATTGGAATAAAAACCCAAATCCATACTCATTTATTTACTTACCCACCAAGGGGTCGTTAATTTTTGAGAAATTCCCATTCACGAATTTGCCAATGGGATGGGAAGGGGGTGGCGTGGAATGGAACGAACTGTGTGTGTGTGTGCCCTCTGTATGAGTTCTTTGCACGTTTCAAAACTTCAATAAAAGATAAAACCCACTTGCGACATGCGTTTCACATTTAATGTTCTTATAATGTTTTCGAATTATGGCTGGGAGTGGGGATTGACAACGGAATGGGGAACAGCAATTGTAACAGCTCAAATGGCAAATGTTTGCCATGGTTATTGTTGGTTTAACTGTTATTATCGTTGCGAAAGAAAGCACAACCAGAAGGGGAACTCAAACATTATATTTCAGTGGGTAAATGTAGATGTGTGTGTGGGAGTGTGTGTGTGTGTTCTCATGCATACGCTCAAGCATATCAACATCATTCAATGTCTGGCTGTATGCCTCTCTGTCTCTATAATCCTGTAAATCCACCTACATATTTTGCTGTCTCAGCCTGCCGTGTTTGCTTCCTGTTGCAATTGTTTGTTTTCAGCTAGGTGATTTCGCCTTGCCTCAGTGCTCATAATCCAATTTGAGACATCCCCTCCTGCTAACCACTAACAATGTTTCCCCCAAAAATATATCCACCCATTAGCTGTTAAATAGAAATTAAGAAACCTTGATTTTGGAACAGTGAAGAATAAAGAAGATTTTGTAAAGATTTTATTCAAATACCATCACCACCTTGCATTTTTAAGGATATTATTTCAAGGCCTACCAATCCTCCCAGAAAATGGTGTTAGATTTTTTCAGGGATTATCAATGACTTTTCAAAAACATTTTTTCAATGACTATCAAAGACGTCGATTAAAAAAAAATCAAGAACTGTCAAAGTCGTGGAATTTTTAAAAATAGTTTTAAAGGACTATCAAAAGGCGTAGATTTTTGAACAATATTTTTTTCAAGGCGTATATTTTTTAAAAATATTTTTTCAAGGCGTAGATTTTTTAAAAATATTTTTTTCAAGACGGCTATTAAAATGTGCGGATTTTTGTAAAAATGATTATGATGATTTTGTAGAAATGATTGTCAAAAGGTGCGGGTTTTTTGGAGAATATTTTTAAAGGACTTTTATAGGGGGCCTATTTTTTAAGATTTTTTTTTTCAAAAGCTATAGTAGAATATTTTGAAGGATATTCAGAAACAAGGATATTAAAAAAAACTTTCGAGCCTATAAATGTATGTCAAATTTTGTTTCCAATAGAAACCACTGTGTCGTCGACACATCTTTAAAAACATATAATTTCAATCACATTCTCATCAATAACAATAGCAAGAAGAAACAATTGCACGACAGTCATTCACTCTCATCCTGGATGGGAGGGTGGTATGAGGCATCATGCCGATTGTTAAGAAACTCGTGTAATGATAGCTGGGATGGAGGTTTGTTTGTTGCCATGACTTTTCTATCCTGACGAATGTCAGGCATGGCGACAGTCATACGGCGTATGGTCGTTGGTTACAAGTGTCTAAACAATTATAATTGTTGACGCAATGATGTTTGTTACGGCTCAGAGTGAGATGTAGACCAAAAAAATCGTAAATGAGAATTCTGAGTATCGTTTTAAAGTCAATGGGAATATCAGCAGTTTCCCCTTTACCACATTATTTTTATAATGTTTTCGTTTTTTGTTATCTCATTTTGAGATTCGTTTCACACATGTCGTTAGCTATTTATTTCCTCACCCACCCCGTAAAACTTTACATCATGTTCGCCGTTAAATCTTCTTAGAATATTTGTAATTACACTCGCCTGCCATCCGTAACTTTGAAATTAGCGCTGGCTTTACATAATTTTTGAAAATTTCCGTCACATCTGTCGTTGTCAAGGATACGGGGATAAGATTGACAAATTTCCATGAAATGATTAATAAAGGATCACAAAATTACAAGAAAATAAAAACGTGCACAACGAAGTTATTTAAAAGGGGAAAGACGGGTATGCCGGAACAAAACGAAAATTTTAATAATTTCCAAGTCGGAAAAAATCGGAACAACCTTCAGCATTTCCAGTTTAACGAATACACACACATATATTTTTCCAATTTCACTTAAAAATTTTATTGAATTTCAATATTATTTTGTTTCCCAATTATTAGCCAATAGCTGAAATTGAAAATAAAATATTTTCATTTAATTTCCATCAACTACATATCTCAATATTTTTTTTTCGGAAAATAGAATTTATTTTCTATTCAAATTCTTTGCAATCGCATCGATTTGATTTTTAATATTTTTAACAATTTTCATTTCATTCTCAACGTGATTATCAACCAGAGAATCAACGGCTGTATTACCTTGTACCAAAACGGGTAGAATTTCTTGTCCAACTGTGGTCAGAATTTCAGCAATTTTTAAAATCATTGCGGGATCTGGTAGTCCAGGTATGGCACGAGCTGGTTTCGTGTCGACTTCTTGACTTTTCGGTACCGGTTGACCCATAACTTCCATAGAACGACGACGTCGTCGCCGATTACCCGATTCATTTGAATCTTCCACAGTTTCCTCGGATGAAGAATCATCTTCCTCTTCTTCAGATTCTGGAGGCGTGTCGTCCTGTGTTATATTGAATAAGGATTATAAAACATCATTTTTATTTCTTGTTTCAATGTTTTACCTGGCACTTCACAAACTGTACCACAATAAAGAGCAGTACAAAAATTGTCAAATTGCGTTTCAAGTGAAAGGACATTTTTTATTCAAATCTGTTTGCTGTTTGGTCTATTAAAGTTGGAAGATCGAAATGTGCCCAGTTAAATGAAATCATAGTATTTATAGATGCGTCGCCTAATAGGTTTACTGTTTTAGTCGAGATGCGTGCTGATCTCAATTTGTTTTCAAATTAGTTCAAATTATCTCCAGAGATGGGAGTATTTAATCGCAGCTTCTGTGCAATATCCACCAAAGCTTTATGGCATTTTAGATTTTTTTTTTTCAAATACTAAATTTCAAGTGCCAATTGTAGAATCACTTGTTCCGCTCCGATTGAAAATACTACAAATGTTATGCAAACCAATTGTAATGTACCACAAAGAACTGACCGTTTTAAAAAGAAAATGGTCAAACAACAGATAATCCGGCGTTGCAAATTAAATTTCAGTTATTAAAACAAGTAAAAACGTTGTTAAGTTCGACCGGGCCGGGATTCAAAATTCTTTAGATCGGTGAGGACATCTATCATACTGTGAAAAAGTGATGTTCCAAAGAAAAAATGGTGTTCTCTATATACCAGGCTTCAAGATACGGAAAATTAAGCGGTACCGTTATATGAGTCGTTTTAAGTCCATTTCTGTTACATATCTGATACATATCTTGGTTTTCTAGTAAATTTTACAAATCATATCAGAGTCATAAACAAAATTAATGCCATATAACAATATTTTTGAAACAAGTCAAACACAAATACTTAAATATCTCAATATAAGTAAAAATGGACATAAACCACTTTCAAAATAAACGACTTATGTGGCAGCTATACTAAAACTTAAACCGATTTTGATAATTTTTAATATGAAGATTTGACACCGCATAAGAACATGAAAAAATCAAATTAAAGCCAATCCGGTTGTAAATCGTACCCAAAGCCCCCAAAATACCAAATAATGGATACCAATGGGGCTACCCAAAAACTTGAGGTTAATATTGATAATTTTTGGTGTGTAGATTTTCTGCTCAATGAGAATCCAAAATATAATATTACAGCCAATCTGGATGAAACATGTGCACAAACTACCTAAATACCGAAGCATGGCTTTATATGGAGTAATATTGATAATTTTTCAGTTAAGAGCTTTTGAATATAGAGAAGAGGGTAAATTTGTGTACAGTACTAATTTGGGTATACAGTCCATATTATTTAAATCGCTTCGTATTCAAATTGTACAAGTTCTGCCATCAGTTTTTTTTTTTTTTTTTTTTTTTTGATTCTTGTAAACATGAATATAGAGAATTATTTAAACTGATTTTTCTGTCGATTTTGCATTTGGTTTTCTTGATATTGGACTTTAATTTTTCCGAAAGAATGTACGGTATCTCCCCAATGCAAGGATATAGGGATGTTAAATTTTGTGCATATCCTATTTAGGATAGTTGCATTAAATCCATGAACAGAAATTTGTTCTAAGATTGCGGAAAAAATTTCGGGGCTCAAAGGGTTAATCATTGGCGAATATTGATAGTTTTGGTAGGGACATTTTCTACTCAAGTAGAATTCCTAATACTAAATTAGAACCAAATAAAATACTGTTGAATAAGTACTGAGATATAGAGCCTTAAACAAAAAGTGACAAAGCTGCCCAAGTTTCCCCTACTGACGTGAGGAGGAGAAATTAGGAATTCCCTTAACTAGCATTCAAAACGGTGTTCTAGTGTATCCACAGTACATTATGCAAAGACATAGAAACCGTAAAGACTAGACAAAATGCATTTTGCCAAAATAGTTTATGAAAAAATATCCAGGGTGAATCAGGCATAACAGAGGCATGTTAAGAATAAAAACGCAAATACGCGATAAAGTGTGTGTAAAATGTAAATAAGATTAGAGATCTGTACTCAAAAAATATGTTTTTATTTTATAAGCTTGCAATATAGCGTTTAAAACGTTTAATATTGTTTGCTCTGTTGTTATGATATCGTAACAACAGAGGAAAAGCCATCTATTGGCAATTGTTGACGTATCGATTGTCCTATCTTTATACTTTTATGTCTTTGCATTATGCTATGATGAAATGGACTAGCGTTAAAAATATAAACTATAATAATTTTCTTTTTATGTCAAGTTGTGTCTTGGATAAAGTTTGAAATGTTATAGTAGCATACCTTTAGGCGAATACATCAAAGACCACATCCGTTATTGTAGTTTAGTGCGTCAACTTGAAATAAAGTTTCCTAAATAAAATTTACTTTCTTTTATTCGCAATTGATATCATACTGTAAATAATTTATATTTGTTAATTAATATTAATGGTCACCATTGCATTATAACATATGTGTTACTAATAGACACACACACCCACACAAAATATTACATCGATTTATTTGGTAACTTCCTCCGCCATCTATATGTCAGTACATAAACTACGGACGTCTCTCCATTGTGAATACAATGGAAATACAACTCTTGCAAATATTTTGCTGAGACATGACCACTCTACAAACACAAACGTGACATTTCTTTTGCATGTACATTCGTAAATAAACATTTCATGTGTTTCGAGATAATTTCTGTTTTTGTTTTGCAAAATAAGCCGGACTATTTGTCATTAATATTTGTCTTCGGGAAATTATTGCTAAAAGGTGGGTATAATGACTTACATGAATAAATAATTAAATCGTTGTTATTGGTTTATCAGCTAGCCTTAAGTTCTCAAATGACAAGAGGTGACTTGATAAGCATATGCCGATTTTAATATAAATCGCAACATTTTGAAATATTTACCGTAAGTAGCTCTTGTTGCATCCATTTTAAACTAAATATTTTGGTTTCAAGGCGCAGATCTCGGGCAGTGTGAATTCCCTTCACCTAATGTGTATGTGAATGTAATGTGGACTACTTACGATAGAAATTTAAAAGCAACACGAGTGGAGCCTCTAAAGTTGGCATAAACCCAAAAGCCTAGAAAACGGGGTGTTGGGAAAAATATGGGCTGAACGTTAGGAAAATCATACCCATTTTGTACTATATATTTTCTAATATTAGGTTTGGAAAATGAAATCCATTATTTTTATTTGAACTATAGGACTTTATTTATCATGCTTCGGAATGTCCGATTTGAGCAAATACGCAGCGTTTTGTTGTATGATTTGTTGCCATTTTAAAGGTAACATCATAATGCCTCTCTCATAGAAGTCCTGCTCTCTATTTGCAAAAAAAAAAAAAATCTAGCAGTCGATTTTCACATTCCTCCCTGCATACCAATTTTTTATCATTAAAGAAATTTTGCAATGCCAGAAAACTATGAAAATCGCTTTGTGCCAAGTCCGGACTCTATGGCGGTAACTCCATTGTTATAGAATTAACAAAATTTCAAAATTTTGATCCATTGTGGGAGAGGTACCAGCAGGAGTGGGCCGATGTGTCCAATCTTTGGATTCGATCTGGGATAGGTAAAAATATTACGATGTGGTACCAGAAGGTGTGAACAAATGGGTCCATCTTCGGACTTGATCTAGGCTTGGTAATGATAATTATTAGGTTCGAATCGTAGTCTGTTAGCTTGATATTAAAAAACAAACGTATTTTCAGCAAAATTTTTGAACGACTCGGATTGATCCCAAATACATGTTGGCTATTAAACCCAAAATGCAATAGGGCACATTTGTCATTAGCATAAAAACAAATCCCATTTTTTGAGATCCCACAATAACAGTTTCCAATTTTTCTTTTACAGCTTCAAATTGACACAAATTGACCAAAGATGATGGACAAAATGTCAAAATTATCTACAGAAAATCTCGAGGTATTCATTAACGATTATCTGAAAGAAGATTTAAAGCATTTGGAAAAATACATCCAACAATATAATGAGGAAATTATGGAATATATACAATTGAAAAATACAATACAAACGATGCGTGACAATTTCGACGATGGCTATAAAACTCAAATGAATATTGGTTGTAACATCTTTATGGAAGCTAAAGTATATGATTTGGAGACGATTTTAGTGGATATTGGAAAGGGTGTATATATACCATTCACCGCAGAGGAAGCATTGAAATTTGCCGATTTTAAAATCAAAATTCTAAATAAAGAATGTGATGTTCTGCGAGAGGAAAGCGTAAAGAAACGATCGGCCATTAAGGTGACCCTAATGTATATGGCCGAACAGGAGAAATTGGTGACGGAAGAGAAGGATTAAAGAACAAGGATATTGTTTGATAGTTTTAAGTAATTGTTTGTAAAGTAATAAATTAAGTTAAATAAAAAACTGAAAACAAATATCTATATCTGTTTGCTAATTGTATAGAATTTGTTTTATCTTTCAGAACCTGTAGTTTATTAATCAAACTCAGTTAATTTTCTTCTTCTTTAGTTCAATCTAATTTATTTTTGTTTAAACAAATACCTCCTAATCCAGATGAACACACCCATATCCCGCATACCTTGTTTTTAGATTAAAATCGCCAAACCATTATCAATGTCAACTGAACGAAAAAAATGCAAGTTTCTTGTGCGGTAGCAAAAGCCAGGTATTCGTGTTATCCAAACTAAAATGTTATTGTTTACATTGTTATAATGTTAAACTGGCAAAACAACAACCACAGCAGAAGCAAAATCATTGAGGTATTCCTTAGAGAGTCGTGGTCTATATGTTGTCTGTTTTTGTTTCGTTGCCATACGAAGGTGGGTCATTCGAAAAAAAATCCATTCATTGCAACGAAGTTGAGAAGCAATATCAGAGTCGCAAAGACCGCTCTTTACAAACACATGATAAGCTTTTTGCACACATGTGTATAGTTTTTGTTGATTTCATTTCAGCATTGTTACAGAATTTCTTTGCCAAAAGGATAACAATGACTGTGTTACCGCAATCATTTGCACTACATAAAGTTTAGCATGTGGTTTAGATTATATAAAAAGTAGACGAGGGTATGTCTTTAAGTTTATTTTGCAATGAATTATGTGGTACCGTTCACTAAGAATACGAGAATGGATATGCTCGATAAATTTCAAAAAATAATTTATAACAATTGTAGAAGTTAAGTTCGCCTGGACCGAACATGTAATACCCACCACTATGATGTGGGTACTCATAATACTTAAAATCAGTTGGGACCACTTTTTTGTGAGCCATGTATGAAGGAGGGGTACTTCACTTAGGATCATAGGCATTAAAGAGCGGTACCGATATAAGGAAACTACATATGTCAAAACATGGGGTTTTTATAATACCCCAATCTTAAGGTTTATAAAGTTAGGTTAATGCAAGCCGGCATACAATCATCATCAATGAAAATTATACGCAATTCCTTTAAAAAATCACCTTGAGTGATGAGGAGGACTATTTCCACAATGGTGGGTGGCTACATCAACAACCAAATGTTCGCATCTGGAGCTCCATAAGGTGGAGTGTATATTAACTATGTCATTCAGTTTACAACACCTTAAAATTTTCACCGAAGCTTATATATTAATCACGGCTCTCATGGGCTGTCAAATCTTTCTATCAAAATGGCATAGCTGGCCATTTATGACGGCCCCATGTTTTGACATATGTAGTCCCCTTATATCGGTACCGCTCTATAATGCCTATGATCCTAAGTGAAGTACCCCTCCTTCATTACTAACGATTACTAGTATTTTATATATCCTGCTCGAGCTGTTCATACCCCCTTCTATGGATATAAAATATGAAATTGGTTAATAAAAGAGCTCTTCTATGGGTATACGAGGTCTTCTTTCAATAGAAGAAGCCTTCTAGGAATCGGAGAGATTTTCTAATGGTGAAATTCGTATTCAATGGATAGAAGTTGTCTCATAAGAATAGACGATGTTTTCTGTGGATAGAAGAGAAATAATGTAAATAAAGGAAATCGTTCTTCTATGGTTGAAGGAGATGTTATATGGATAGAAGAGGTATTTTTGGAAATTTTCTATAGATATTCAATTATTAAAATAGGTAATATGGTAAGAAGATGTCTTGGGCAGAGAAAATAAATTATTTTTATTTAAAGTAGTTGTTCTATAGACAGAAAATGTCTTCCATGAATAGAAGATGTATTCTATAATATATAAGAGGTCTTCTATGGATTTAAGGGGTAAAATAAAGATGGATAAAGTCTACCACAGACAGAGTGGTTTTTCTTTAGATGGTAGAGATCTTTCATAAGTATAGTAGATATTTTAATAGATAAACAAGTAAAAACGTCATTAAATTCGGCAGGGTCGAACTTTTTATACCCTCCATAAGCCGTGCTATTTAAATGTCCACCTCATAGTGAAGCGTATAAAAAGAACACTTCTATGGATATAAAAGAGTCGAGTTGATATATAAAAAACTTTTCTATGGATATAACAGGACTTCTATGAACTGAACAGGCCTTCTATGAATCGGAGAGATTTTCTTATGATGAAATTCGTCTTCCATGGATATAACTTGTCTCATAAGGATGGACGAGGTATTGTATGAATAGAAGAGAAATCATGTGAATAAAGGAGGTTGGGTTTCTATGGTTCAAGATGTTCTATGGATAGGTAATTTTTTAATAAAAAAAATTATTCAATAATAAGAAGAGGTCTTGTCCCTATAGAAGAAGTAATTTTTACTTGGAGTAAGTGTTTTATGAACAGAATAAGCTTTCCATAGATAGAAATATATGTTATAATAGGTTGGGGAAAAAGAAATCCATTATTTTTATAGAAGTCATAGAAGTCTCTCTACTCTAGTAGTCGATTTTCACAATCTTCCCTAGATACCAATTTTTTATCAATAAAGAAATTTTGCAATGCAAGAAAAATTTGATAATTGCTTGGTGCCAAGTCCGGACTGTATGGCGGTTGCATTAAAACTTTTCAACCAAGCTCCCGAAGTTTCTTGCGAGTCACTGTACATATGTGTGGCCTAGCGTTGTCCTGGTGGAACACGACACCTCTCCTGTTAGCCAATTCTGGCCGTTTCTGGTCAACGGCCCAGTTGTTGACAGTAGAGATCAGAATTTAGCGTTGGACATTTGGTAGCAACGCATACCGTTTGAGGAGCCTCACCGCTCTTTGACCACGATCATTTTCGCACAGGGTTATCGTATGTGATCCATTTATCATCTCCAGTCATCATCCGTTTAAGAAATGGGTCTATCTCATTCCGTTTGATCAAGGTTTCGCAGATGAAAATTCAATCCATCCCACAAATCGAGTTTTTTTTAATCCAACTTTGTGTAAATGGTTTAAAACAGTTTTATGGTAGATTTTTAGCTTTTGGGCGATGTTACGACTGCTAACATGCCGGTAAACTTCGATCATTTCTCCGATTTTATCGACGAAAATATAATGGATATATTTTTCCCAACCTACATACCATAATATTATTGGTATGAATGATATCCTATCAACTTCTCGGATCTATGTCCTTCAGGAGTAAATATATACACCACAGAATACAAATTTTGTAATTTTTCCCTCAAAAGCCTGGGTCCATGCTTATTCTCTGGCCAGATTATCTTCCTGGTGTAAAGATTCTTGGTGTTCGGGTCATAATTGGGTCGGGTCATCAAGAGCGACCAGAAACACATCCAACATCATCATTCCCTAAATATAAACCGATCATTACCAAAAGCAATAGGGATCTTCTTGGTCAGACATATTTAGGTTATCACCTTCTATAGAAGGTCTTCTGTAAATGAAAAGGATGTACAGAGAGATATTCTGTAGTCATAAAACTATTCCTTTTTATATTTTTTTCCAATCTTCAAATATTTTCCCGGCATATAGCAATTTCGTTTACTGCCAAATTTTCCTCCCTGAAAATATTTCCTTTATTCACCTGGACAATATTTCCGCATCATATTCAACAGCTGTCAGTCTGTTTTTAATATCGTTTCGTTTTTTTATTATTTTGTTTGTTTTTGAAAGTCAATTGCTATTGTTTGATAATTTAAATTGTTGTAGCTACTGTTGCGGAATAGTCGGAAACTTTCTAAATTGTATGTGCAACCACAACTAACAATAGAAATAAAACAACAACAACATCGACACAAGTTGTTGTATTTAGTTGTTGGCTACTGGTTTGTTTGTTCGTTTGTTACTGTCTGACAATGACTGGTTATGGTTGTTGGTATCTTCATTTTGTTAACAGCAGCCAGGAGATCTTCGGTTATCTTAGTTTCTGCGTGTGTAAGTGTTTGTAGTCAAGTCACTACTGGTACGCATATCAAAAGTTTTGAGTTAGCCATCGCAAAATGTAAGCATTGACCCTCGGAGGGCGCAGAAAACAGGGCCTTTATTTGAATAATAATGAAATATATAGCTTACAGAGAAATGTAGGTTTCACAGATGTATGAAAATATTCTAAAGAATATAAGTGGAAAATAATTCTTATTGGAAATTGTTGTAACGGTGCATATATATCTCAAGGCGTATACGTTGTGGCATCACTTATACGCACCGGTGTATTAAAAACTTAATATTTATTATTTTATATAAGGCCAAAATCCATCCCTGATCATATGTGGCATTTATTTGCATCATGCAATTCTATTTATGATGTCTGAGCGTAATTTTATATTCTACAATTACTGGTGTTGTTGCTGTTCTTATTTGTGTTTGTTCGTTTGCCTGTTTCAAGTTTTTCTTTACCATTTGTTCATGGTTTTATTTGTATGGTTTATTCTCTACTTTTATATTCCAACTCGGAATTGTTTGTGCATGTTTCTGAATGTTTGGATAGTTGGCTAAGAAGTGGATGGCGATGAAGAAGAGAAGATGTGGTGGTGCTGGCTAAATAAGTTTTCCTATTTCACAATTTAACCATTTCTGTGTTTGCTGCATTGTTTGTGGTTTATGGGGTCAAATTCGATTCAAAGTGAAAATTGTTCCTGTCGAGTTGTACAGAAAAGTTTATTTTGTATTTGACCGAAGCGAGAAGCTGTGGAATTTTAAAAATGAGGAAATCATGTAAATTTATTTCGGCTATGTTTGCAAACAACAATGTCTGGCATGGAAGGAAATTGGAAACGTGCGGTCGGTTGTGATGTGTCTTGATGAAAATGTGAACTTGTATCGAAGCAATGTTATTGATTTGTTGTGAAAGAGATAAAAACATTTTTTTGGAAATATCGGAGCACATTTTTTAAAATAACATAATCAAGTAAGATTGTATTAAAAGTCATTAAAAGGTTTATAGTCTAAATAGCAACATCAACA